GGTCTCTTCCAACCCGGTAGATTCTATAATTCTGTAGCTCTCTCGGGGAAGCCCTTCTATGACATTGCCATTGTTTTTTCTGTGTTGATGCTCTAAATGGTTCTAATCCCACGTTCAACAAATGTTTGCAGCAAAAGTCATGTAAATTCCTGTTGTTAGATCAATTTCTCAGCATAGGCCGCTGGAGGGGTTAATTATGAACCTTTCTTTCTAATATAATTAGTTATTGATTAATGTTGGATGGGCTGAGGTTAAAAAAAAGGGAGAGAACATTATGAAGAAAACAAGAATCCTGTCTTGTATTACAGGAAATTCTTAGTAATGCAGGCAATAACTCCTAGCAGAGAATTCCAGATTTCCTAACTTTGCTTTCCCCCCGTTATTCTGCTTGTGACCTGTGATATGGATGTGAAACTGCTGGCAAATTACTTTTCAGGAGGAACTAATCCATAACAAGTGAGGAAAAGAGTTTTGGGTTTGAAGGTCTCCTGTAATAATGCACCTTTTACAGCCAGGCAACAACAGAGGGCAATAGATCTCTAGAAAAGATCACGGCTGCAGAAAGGTTTCCATTGGATGACAGCGATGGCGATTTTGGCAGCTCTTTGCACTGCCTCGCAGGGATCATCCAGACACTGCTCAAATGTGTTTGTATGATCCAGGAGTGTTTCGCGGCCCTCTGGTAGCTCAGCCAGCAAGGTGAGGGTTTTGATTGCATTCAGACGGGCTTTGCTGGTTTCCTCAGCAACCAACTTCAGTAAAGGTGGAATGGCTTCAGCACCCATGGCTGAGGATCTCCCTGTAGAGAAATAAAATGGCTTTGAAATGTATTGTGACATCTAATCAACATCCTTTTGAATTGATACTTTCCACTCCCTGCTCAGCTGCAGCTCTGAACAGCCCTGGGGTGCAGGGCACAGAGGCAGGACCTGCTCTTCTTCTGAAGACCAAGACTAGCTCCAAGCTGTTTATTTTTAAGCAAAAAGATCTTTCATAGTTAACTTTATCTGCCTTGCACATTAGTATTCCATTTTCTAACATAATTATCTAAGAATATATGAGGCACCAAATGATAGAATAAACTGCTTTTTGGAGGGGGGGGGTGTGTTAGATGATGCCCTTAAGAACATCCTCCATTCTTTCGTTTGTAAAGACACTTCAGACACTGAGATCCACTCCCGTGTTGTCTTTGGAAGCCAGAGGAAGGGTTGCAGAGGAGGACTGGAACACAACTGCTGTTATTAAGAGTCTTTTATGTCTAATTACTCATTCATCACACTGAAAATTTAGCAGTTAGTATTTTCAGTGTCATGTAAGTTACTGGGGAGAGCTACAGACCTTATTAATATTCATTGCTCTCCCAGCTGTGAGAGAAACTGCCTCTAACCACAAAATGTTTCCAGAAAGTAGTGCTCCTCTGCTGAGCACTGGTGATTCAGCATAGCTCCAGGTACGTGCATCTCTGTGTGGTCTGCACTTGAATGGAAAATGTTTCCCCTCTGGAGCAGCACTCTGGAGGGAGATGATGCAGGTGGGATAGATAAATAACTTCTTGACCTACTTAAGAATGAAATGTGAAATATGCCATCCCCTCAAAAAACTGTGGGGAAGCAACACTAGTTGCTCAAGGCAGTTACAAAGAAATGTCCTAATCTTATAGTTTCTTGAAGAGCTTTTACACTGTCACACACTGGAGACTTGGGGGCAAGGGGTGCAAATGATTTGTTACTGAGTTGTCTTAGAATTGAATTTCCAGAAGGTGTCCCAACAGGACTGCCTCTGTCTCTTACCCTGAGGTATAACAGCAGCAAACATCAGTGCTCCTGCAGCACGAGCTTGGACTTCAGGATCTGTATCTTCCAGCAGGCTCACCAGCACAGGAATAACATTCGCTTCACATACCACAGTTTTTGCCTCTGGATGAGTACTGTGCAGAAAAGATGGTTAAGTTTCTTTCTTGTGCCTGCTAACCACACAGCTACCCAGAGCCTCTCCTCATGCCTGGACCCCCACAGCCCTCCCTGTCTGGTGGCAGCAGCGCTGGCACAGACCTCCTCTCTGTTCTCTTTGGAGTGACAGTGTTCTGGCTGTGAGCAGATGGCAGGCACTGCTGCCCAGGCACAGGGAAACCAAAGGGGATGGCTGTTTGCACCTGGTGGCTATCAAACCCACATGCTGATACAGCACTGATGTTATCACATTAACCTAGGTGTGTGGGCTTAACAATTTTTAGGTTATTTTTAAGTGAGATTTAGATTATTTTTTTTTTACACTTTCTGTGATACACTGGAGCAGCATGTAACATGGGCAGCAGCATGTAACAGGATGTAGGATTAAGGGTGCTGGTGGTCCTCATGGCACTGGAGTTAGAAACCTGGCTCTGAAACCCTATATAGATTTTAAAACCTGCTGAATTAGGGGTCTGCAATTAATTCTTCTCCCAGGTAATTTTTCTCTCTCTCTTTCCAGCCAATCTAAAGAGGGGATTATTTAATATGACCCAGCTACTGCAGGGATCTAGAACATAGCTGATGTCCATACTCCACTTGCATTTGCTTTCTTTCTGTGACTCATGTCAATTATACTTCTTTTCCTCTAAGACCTCACTTTGTTATAGAATATGAGGAAATGTTTTGTGCCAGTTGATATGTAAACTACATCATCTGCAGGCCTTTTTAAAGTAGGCATCTGTTGAGCACTTCTATTATATTTTCTGATTGCAGGACAGTGGACTTAAGTTGTTCCTTTCATCTACTGTCTGATAAACAAATTTAATACAAAGATTGCTTTTCCTGATCCATCACTGACGTATGCAGCAGCTTGTGTCAGAAAACTATTTCTGTCCTCAATCACAATGAAAGTTTCCAGGACCTTTAATTTTTTGCAAGAGAGCAATTTTCCAAAACCATAAGGGAGCTTCTCCCTCCTTTCATAGTGGTCAGAATCTTGTCTTCACAAGATTTTTCATGCAAGAATTTTTTTTCTCAGCAGTGCTGTACCAGGAAAATGTCCTGGTTTCACTGCCAATACTGCAAACAAACAGAAGGAGAAGGAATGACTGATCAGCATCTGCTTTCTTGAGTGATTTATAGCAGTCAGGATTTTTAGAAGTATTCTATCTATGTGTGTATTCAGGCTGATAGAGCTTTACCAGTGAAATGTGGCAGCTTCAGTGGAAAATAGCTGTAAACTAATGACACTGATTTACTCCTGAAATCAGTACTTTCTTGGGCTTAAGCCTTTTAGACAGATTTCTTTACCTAATTTCTAACATGACCAAAACTGCTTTGCTTTTGATGGCTGCTGATGAGTGTGTGAGCTTCTCCTTCAGGACAGTAACAGCGCCAGCTGCTAGGGCTTCAGAAACCTCAATGTGCAGACAGTTGGAGAGCGTATCAAGGATTAGCTCCTGGATATCATCCAACTCAGTCTTCAGCTTTAATACAAGCAAGGGAATCAAACCAGCTTGCAGGATGCCACCAGCCCCTACAGAGGAGACAGGGAAGGAACATGGGTGAGGGATGAGTGCATTTACTACTGCTACCTGCTCTTTGAATTTCTCAATAGGATCAAAACACATATGGTAACTCATTTCCTTACACAGCCGTGAGATTGAGAGATGAAAACTTCTCCAACACTGCTGTAAAGACATCAGCCCAGGTAATAACCAAAACGGCAATTGGTTTGATGTTCCCAGTTTCTCCCACTATAATATTTACCCAAAAATTATCCTTGCAAAGGAAATACAGGAAATGAGTATATATATATTGCAAAGTCACCTTCTATGCAGCCTTTTTAACGGCTCTGAACATGAACAGGTGCTAAGAGAGGCTGCAGTGTGAGCCTTTGGAGCTCATATTTTGATTCTCCACTGTGGTTCCTGTGGGGGGAAGTCAAGATTTTGGAAAGTGTCAGCCTCCTCACACATTTCTTTGTAGTAACTCTGTCATGGCAAAAATTGAAATTCTGAACTTTACAGCAGTCAGTGTTCTTGCACTGGCTCCTAATAAATAGCATCAAAGGTAGAGAGATCATCATTTGCTCTGCATTGATGTCGTTGCTGTGAGTTTGATTTGTACCATTCCTTACCCTTTACTAAGTCAACACTGAAACAGCAATGCCAGGGGAAATCAGAACGTACTGTCCACGAGTAACTCTGTGAAAACAAAACTCTCCAGCTGTCTTGTTGCTAAGACTGATTCTTTGGTTGCTAAGAGCAATGTAGTTCCTTTCAACGTGATTCATATACAGTTAGATAAGGAAGTTTTGTGGATAAGAGTCATCAAGGTATTTTCAAATGAATCTCCACAGTGGAGACAAGCAGGAAAGAGATTTTAATGACCCTTAGTAGTGCATGAGAGAAATCCCTCAACTTGCAAATCAGCTGAAAAACATGTTTCTACTAGAGGTTATTCTATTGTACATATTTTTGAGAGTTTGCTGCCACTTAATAACTTATTATGTTTCTGACTTATTAGGCTCCACTTTACTAATGCCAAAGCAAAGAAATGCCTAGGGGTGATATTATCACAGCTTTACTACCTGTGCTACATTTGGGCGTCAGTTGCTGTGAGAATTCAAATAAATGAGGAGACCCAGATTCAGACAATTCACTCTTGAAGGCTAACAACATTTTCCAAACAAGGATTCCTCCTTGTGTCAGAAAGGCAAAGCAGGAAAGTGAAGAAGCGTTCTTTGAAGCTGTGGCTCTGTGTGTCACTAGACAGGGAGCTGGCATTTTCATAGAAACAAACCCCAACCAACCCTGTATTTATGTCTTCTGGAAGAATAGAAAGAAGGAATTTCTCCAAGATCAGCTCCAGCCCATTTATACTGTCCCTGTAGAAGGATGCGGTAAAGGAAACTTGCACTACTGTTCTGGCAAAGGACTCACCGAGAGGCCCCTGAGAAAGAGGCGCAGCTGACTCCATCCCCAGCATAAACCCCTTGACAAGGATTACCTGTGTTTGGGCTGTAGGGTGTAGGTACAGAAGGGTTGTTTGGACAACAGTAAGAATATGGCTGGGAATGCTCCATGCCTTATGGAATCCCTGGCAGTAGGGAACCCACTAGTGAGCTGCTCCTGTGGAAGCAGATTAGAGCAGCCTCAGATGACTATAAATCCTATCCAGAACTGGTTTAACCACACTTCCCAACAGTGTTTTGAAACAGCCTGTGAAAGACAAGACTTTGGGAGGTATAGCTTCAGAGGAAGAGTAATGAATTGGAGGTGATAGGCTTAAGTTGACATTCCCTGTAATAAGCACCTTTGTATAGCTGCAACTCACATGGATAGCGCCTTCCCTGGGACAATTTCACACATTTCATAAGCAAACTTGTTGCACAGAGCAGCCAGCACTCCAGTTTGAGCCCAGAGAAGCCATTGCTTGCTTCCATCTGTCTGTAATGAGTATTGCTGTAGCATTCTCTCTACTTTTCTCCGCTGGTAGGTGTACTTTTTTCTTTCCTAGAGAGGTTTCCATTGCTATTTTTTGTACTTGCTTTCAAATACTTTATAGCCATATTTTAACCCATCATCTTAATTTCCATTTTTAGTTTCCTGCAATTGTCTTTTTTTCAGGATTTACTTGCTAAATTCTCTCAGTTCTCTTGATGACTCTACCATCATATAACCAGGAAGTACAATCAGCATTCAGGTTCCACTTCTTCGTGTGTTTGACTTCTAGCATATTCCACAATCCATTCACCTAGTCAGGACTGCTTTCACTGGCCCTTGGCTTTATTCCTTCCAGCTCATATTTACTGACTTTCTTTGCCTCAGCCATCCCTCACTCATTAAATTTGCACTTCATGTCTTGTTTTGGTGCTGCCCTTCACTATTGCACTGCAGTCCTGCACACAACAAAGCCACTTTGTGTCTGTGTCATAAGCTGGTGAGGTGATGTACAGAGTGTTGTCTAGGACAGCTTTTATTTTTGTGCAGCCAGTAAGTAGTATTTATTCTGGGGTCAGAAAACCCTGTGCAGCTAATGGTCCTTATTTTGTATGAACATTTGGGATGTTCCATTTTTTAAAAAAAATACATTTTATTTTGCCAGGTCTCCATAACAGGAGCTTTCTTATCTACTGTTTTCATCAAGCTGTCCTGGCTGAAATGCTGTTGTGCTACTGAAGGGAGCTTCCCAGATACAAATATAGAAACAAAGATGAATTGTCTGACCTTGTCAAAAGTCTCAATGTGGTGAGGAGAAAGAGGGTGGAGAGGAAGGGCCATCAACCACAACAAAAAGAGACTACCTAGCAATGAGACTGAAATTTCCACGTGGAAATTCGTCATAGTTTTCCCAGGGGAGCCAGAAGGTGAAAGGTCTAGGGAGGGAAAAGGGAGGAGACAAAATCAGTGGTGAGTTGGTTGAGAGTTAGTTGTAAAGTAGAGCAGTCTCATCTTAGTGAGCAAACAGTAGGGAAGGAAGGTAAGCTGAGGATTCTAGTAGTCCTATACTGAAAAACACAGCAGCATCCTCAGGAGTTTTCATTACAATTCTGCCCATTCAAAGCAGATTTATCTATTGCTCAGAGCGTTCCAGGTACCCTGGGCATAGAGAAGAAGCAGGGAAAAATGTTCTCAAAATGCAAATAGTTGCATTTGCAGCTGCATAGTTAATGTCATTATTGATCTGTTTTTCTGAGAACTTGTAATCTTCCCTTGGGCTGCTTTTTATCTGAGCACTCATCACTTCCTTCTCATAACCCTCTGGCCACTCTCATCCTCCCTTTCCTGATTCTTTTTTCAAATAGGCCCAAAGAGGAGTTGCCATTTATTCTGTTCTCTAGCTATGGCTGCAGGGCATGTAAACAAGTTAAATTTGTAGAAGACAAAGGAGTCATTTATAGTACATAACAGTGGTGTTTTGTTTTGGTTTTCAATTACATAAATCAATTAAATCACATTACAAACCCTTTTCCTTAAAAATGCCAGTTTTCAACTCAAAATGTTTGTTTTAGTCTGAAGCATGTGCCTCATGAATGGCCAAAAAGTGACACTCAGTGTGCTATAACATAGTAAACTAATAAGAAAACACAGAATCTGTAGAATATAAATCTTTGTTGGCACCTCAGATGTCTCTGTGATAGTCCCAGAACTATTAGAAATGCTCAGTAAAGGCATTTCTGCTTGGGAAGGGGCACACAAGGGAAAAAAATAAAAGCAGAGCCAGACACAAAGGGAAGGAAAAGTGCTGCCTGGTATCACTGTGTGCTACCAACACATCCAGCACACAGCAGCTGTGACATCCCTGGTGGGAGCTCACTGTGAGTAGCCAAGTGATCCTAACGAAATTCCTAGACATAGCAGCTCTCTTGCTTGTACTGCAATTTTAGAGGGAATAAAGTGTTGATCAAATTAGTGAGTTCTAGCACATATTATAGACATTTAAAAATCTCTATAATACATGTGATTGTATAACATTTCCTTTCAGAGTGACACGATGCCTGCAGGAGGTCTTGCCCCAGCAAACCTTCCTTAATGGCTCCTTGCCCACTACTGTTTAAGCTGAAAAAAAATTAAATTATTCTTGAGACTCACTAAGATCTGTGAGTCACCAGTCACAAGTGCATAGTTTGAGAACCTTGTAATTTAATGTTAAGATTCAGCATTTTGAACCTCAGTGCTTCCAGCATTAAGGCTGTGCCAGGGACTAAATGAAATATGAGCCTACTATAAAACTGGGCTGAACTTTCTTTCAGGTAATTTTGGAGCAGCAGACAGACCACACTGAATGAAGCAGAACTCACCGGTCCAAACCCCATCAGCTTTACCAAATCTTCTGCCTACAGAGGAGAATTCTGTTGATGTCTTTGAAAATCAGAGTATTTTCCTCTTCTTTACAACAATAATTCTCTGTCTTTCCATGACAACAGGAATAAACAGCAGTGTCCTAAAGGATGACCGTGCCCAGAGACAGAGTACCTCTTATCTGAGGTACCTCAGGACTGAGAGGTAGGAAGTCTCTTTTTAAATGAAATGATCTGCCAGGATATTAAGACAACTAAGGAAAACACTGCAGGGATTGGACCAGACTAGAATTAGTAAACAATTGTTTCAAACCATTTCAAATCTGTGCATTGGCTAATATCTAAAGAACTTCAAAATTCTCATCTCCAGAATGTCTATTATGACAGCATTTCTAGAAACCCTGGGGATGAATTAGACATAACAGACTTGTGTTTCACATAGTTTCCAAAAAGAAAAATAAACCCTGGGTTCTGTTTCTGTACAAGAATAATCTACAGCCCAAGATCAATAATTGCCCAAGACAAGTACCCCAGTTCTGACTGATGGCAGTGTCAGATCCTTTAGTGTAACATCACCCAAAACACAATGGTGGAAATAATGAAATATGCTCTCTGTTGTAATAGTGCATAATCCATGAACTGTGGATTGTTGGTCATTCATACGGAATCTGAAGGTAGCCTCTAAAATGAGAGCAACTTCTCCTTCTTTTAAGAAAACTGTATGGATTGGTTACCATATACAAGAAAGCAAACCATCCAAGTGGGGGTGAAATAGAAATAACAGAGTAATGCTGCCTTGTACATTTTTTTCCTAGCTCTAATTGTTGATATTCTGCTTGCACATTGTAGGATAAGCATTGACATCTCTTGCTGGGGTTTTACTTAGCCCTTCAGAACTCTTAGCTGTTTACACCTCACATATAATTGAAGTTGTCTAAATTGGTAGCTTAGCATACAGACACACTCACAGACATCTTATGTACCTGGATGTGTGAATGCATGTGCATATGTACACCATTTGACTGAGCTTGCATGCAAACAGATCATGCAAGTTAGGAACTCCCTTGGATTTTATTTCTGACAAAGCACCTTTATTGTGAGAACAATTTTTAAAGATCATAAAAATAAAAGAAGAAAAAAAGTAAAAATTCACCCTCTAGGGTTTTTGTTCCTTGTTCTTTTAGATGGAGAAGGAAATGTCATCCTGAAATTTATTAATTTCCTCTACAGGGAAGACTTTGCCAAAATACATGAAGGAAGGAAAACAAATCTGACATATGTACTACTTGTGCCAAAGTCCTCAGATCAGTAACTGTAGAGAAAATTAAAGCCTTGAGATAAATACGCCTGAAAAGCTGAGCCCCAGCCACTGAGGCTACCCCATTTCAGATTTTCCAAGTGAAAACCTGTCCTTTTGATCTGCTGGTCAGTAAGGGAGATGTGTGGCCATAAGATGTGACTAAGAGGGACCAGTGCAGCCCTTAACCAGAACAGACTCTGCTGACTTGCAGCTTCCACAAGTACCTGTGGTGACATGGAGCTTTCACAGACAGCAGTGAATTTACTGTGCCTAGCAGAGGAAATGGTGAGAGGAGAACCTGGACCAGCACAATCACAAACACTAACTTAAGATTGGATTTTATGCTTCATACCAAGCATGTACATCAAAGAGTGTAGAAAGCGTTAACCGTTACTATAGCAAGTTTCAGTCACAGAGAAATTGATGCTGTAAGGTGAACATGACATTATCAGTTTGACAAATGTTCAGATGATTATTACTTACATTGTAGCAAATTTTAGAGATTCCTGTGGAGAAAGGTCTGCCTTGTCACAGAGGCTTATAAAGATGTGTGAGAGACAGCTCATTTCCTACTGAGATTATTGTCTGGCTGGCTGGGGCAAAAGGAGGGGATGGGAAGGAAGGAGGGGAAAAGTTGTTTAAAGTAATTCAAGTTATTTGAATGGCTGAGAACCATGGAGAGGCAGTTTAGCCCCAGCTCCCTGGGTGCTGGTGCTGAGTGGGTGTCTGTGCTCGGAGGGGCAGGTGCAGGGTGACCCTTCCCACCCACTGCAGCTCCCAGCTCTCTCACGGGACAGAGGAACAGGGAGCTGAGCTGAGCTGGAGGCTTGGCAGGATGAGGCAAGATCCTCAGAGCCACGGATATGTATTTACCCT